AGGGAAAGAAAAGATAGGAAAAAACAAGAAGATCAAGTAGTGAAAATGAGGTTAAGAGGAAGAAGGATTTCCCATTACAGAAGGCTTCAATATAAGGCAGCATTATCCAGTCTCCAGTAAGTCTTATCACTGAGGTTGTCAACTCCAAAATAAGAGAGAAGATTGCAGTTCTAATCCTGAACACTGAGCTACGGCTATTCTTTCCTTCCCTGTGCTGCTTGATGGTCAGCAGCTCTCCCTCCCATGTTCAAAGAACAGTTACTTTTATACACTCCATCTGAGAGTCAAGGATCATGTTCACTTAGGTTCAAACTAACTTGTGATTTAGGTTTCGATGAGCACACCAGCTTTCCATAAAAAGTCTCTGCTTCTGCAATTACTGCACTGTTTAAAACAGATTTTTGCTAAACATTCATTGATTTAATGTTTCCCCTTGGTAAAAGCTGTACCTTCCCTTTGGGAAGACCATATCATTTCTTCCAGTAGCAATTTGGCATCATGACCACACTTCTGTTCTAGGGCTTATCACATTAGAAAATACACAACATTAATGAAAGAATCTTGAAAGCAGGTTTCAAAACTTGTTCATGTTTATATCCTCAACACAGAATCTGACCCACAATATGAGTTGAATGAAATAATCAATCAATGATCTCAGTTATGTTCCTTTGGAATAGATATTGGATTTAGCCTAAGAACAATTCTTCAATTAGATCATTTTTCTACTACAAGTAAACTTACTTGTTTAGAAAAGATTCTCTGTTATTTTTATAAGTCAGGCATTTCTCTTCAAGATCCAGAGTAGGGAGAGGAGGCAGAAATCCTATATCAGATTTCTTATTATGAAAGAAACAACGTTCTCTTTCAAAGTCAACCATACTGCAGCAGTGCGAAAAATTATACTTTTGTGGCAGCCCCTTCACAGCACATGTCCTTTCCAATAAAATATCATTCTAGACAACAGAAAAGTAAAAGACACTTTTTGTTCATTGTAAAATTTCTCAACCTTCTGAGACAACACAATGGATACAATGAGTGGTGAGTATTACCCTTTGGGAAAGAGATTCCAATTTTCCCAATATTACCAGCAGATCATCTTTACCTACACCCTTGACAACCACCCCACACTTTAGGGACCTTTCTCTATCCTAACCTGAGGCTCTTTAACCTCTTACTTTTTCTTTGCTGCCTACATTTCCCTTACATAATGGCTTTTTTCTTCCCCTCCCAGGGTGACAGGGTCAGGGTGTGAATGTGTTGGTAAAGTATTTAGTTAGAGTGTTCAGTAATAGTTTTCTAGAGAGGCAGATGGTGACTCTATTTGGGGGAGGCCAAGAAAAGGGGTGTGATGGCAGAGTACATATTGAGAGAGACAGCTGAGGAGGGTACCTTTGTGCTTCCATGCACTTTGCCAGGCTATTGGCTGCCCCCCTGCCTGTAAACATACATGGACTGAAAGCTCATAGCCAAGTCCTCCTGAGTATCATAATACAGAATTGCATCTCTCTTAGGAAAGTACCTTGTCCTAAATACTGAAGTCAGGCAAAATAAAAATGAGGGGCATAGAGTATCTCTTTTTTTATATTTTCAAGCCAAAAATTCTCTCAGTGTTGACAAATGTGTTTGTTTAAGACGTGCAAACAATTTGCTTACAGTTAATCTTGGACAGTCTGGGATTGTCACTTCATCCAAGCATTGCTCTCCATATTTCGTCATGATTTTTACCAATATTTCTACTTCTTCAAAGGATGCCTCCTGAACATACTGAGAAAATGCAATGATGGTGCTGCAACAGTCCACAGAATACACAATGATCACCTGCAGAATTCCCATGCATGCCCTACAAAAACTCACAGGAACATCCACTTGCTGACTAGTCCCAGGAAATTATCAACATGTGAAAGCTACAAATTTTACAACTTGACAATTCAATTGCCTCATCTGAATATTATGATTAATACTGTATTTACTTTTTTGATATGGTTTCTACCTAATTAAATTACTTTTGAGAAACATTAACGTTTCTAGAATAGATGAAATGAGATTACGTTAAACACCATCATCATCAAAAAGAGTTTAGAGAAACTCACATGTATCCAATATTCTTCTCTATAAATTTCTGGGTGATACTGGCATCATCTGAAAAGCAAAGATATTTAGGTTATTATATATCCTGGCATTTTAACACTTTCCCAATAAATAACTATACATGATATCTAAATTTATGAAGTACAAAATGGAAAACTGATGGTAGAATATAATTTGGCATATTTAACAAGAAGAAGAGAACTCATATGAACCAAATGCAAGATCTTAATCACAGCTGATTATGTGCTTAAGAAATATTCATTAAGTTGAATTGACTTGAATTAATCTCAAACTGACCAGACTTTAGATGTGCCATTGATGGCTCCCCAGCCACAGATGTCAAATACAAGCACCATTTCCATGCTACATATGTATTACGTATGACTAGAAAAGTAACATGAAGGATAACTGATGTGTAATGTAATGCCATGACAGGGCCCAACAAGAGATGCCTTAACATGCTGGTGGTCGGTATAGTTTATAGTGCTAGCCAGACACAGATATTTAGGTGATCTCTGGACTAGTCTAAAATCATTGATTCCTTCCCAGTGAGTATATACTAAAGCAGAGCACATTTACATTTGTCCAATAGTCTACTTTTATGGGGTCCTTACTTTTGCAAAGTATTGTGCAGAACACTAGGAGTTAATCAATGATGACTAAGACATCTCCCATGGACCTCAGGTTCCTAGGTATTCTCATGGTGCAAGCGACTCCCAAACATGACTATAATCCAATTTAGAATGTATATGACATTCTAAAGTAATGTGGCTAAGTATATGACAGGAATGTTTTTTGATCCCTGGGTGAGGAACCAGAAAAGGATTATAGTAGGGGTGGCATATGAGTTGAGTCCGAAAAAATGTACAAGATTCCAGTTAACAGAGAAATACGGAGCCTCGTCTTTTTGTGTGAAGAGAATGATGTGAGTGAAAGCACAATGATGAGAAATCTTGGGATGTATTTGGGGAAAGTCAATTAATCCACTTGGGTGAGAAAGTGGGTCATAAAGAAGAATAATGGAACTTAGGATAGGAAGGACCTGATTCTGGATGGGGAGGGGTGGTCTTGCATATAGAGCTGAGGAATTTGGGCTGCAATTGGAAGCCATGAAGAGCCATGGAAAATGTTTATGTAGAATAGTAACATAATAATTTCTTTATGCTAAGAAAAACCAGCCAGGTTGTGGTATATCTAATATGCTGGGATCTCCCACAGTGCCTGACAAATAGAAAGTGACAAGAACTATTTGTCAAATAAATGGATAGAAGGATGAATGGATGGACGTAAAAAAGCAAGAAGCCCATTAGGAGACTTTTGAAACTGTCCTATTGAGAAATCAGCAGGACATGAATTTTGGTAGTACAATGGAAATGCAATGGAAAACATGGATGCAAAAGATATTAAATAGACAAAAATCAATGTGATTTTTAAACAAGTTGTTACAAGGGGCAAAGGAGAAGGAGCACTCAAGAACGACTACTCTTCTTCAAGACCTGTGACTGATCTCACTAGGAGGCGCTGTGGGGGGTACTGAACTCTAAGACACCATCTACATCTTCAGGGCCACTGCAATGCTTATGGTACCTTTGTACAAGTTACAAAAAGGTGCTCTTTCCAGGCAAAGTGATTACAAAGACATCTCCTCTGAACAGATGAAGTTCAAAGTATTCACCCTTTAGGTAGAAGAAATATAAAAATCACCCTTTCCTCCAGACTGACACTGTCTTGGCCAGGTTTAGGGGGATGTACAGGCTTGGGGAGATTTACAAACTGTACAGTTGGAGGAAACTGTATACCCTAAAAATGTTTATCACTTAGTTAAGAGATACATTTGACAACCAAAGCTTCCAGAAAAATCCCAACTCATATCTAATGATCCACTGTTACCATACACTATACACATTTGCAAGAAATACTAATATTTTCAAATCCAAATTATATCTCCCAGCAACACTTTCTGTACTGCCGTAAGGCTGGTGACCATTTGCTGAGTGTGATAATTCTCTCTGTCCATAGACTGGGTAATATGACCGGCAAAATACAAAATCTGGGAAGGTTAGTTCAGGATTTCTGATCAGTATATACAAACTAGCAGGAGGGAGAAAAAAACAAGTGAAAAATTAAATTGAAAGAAAACAAGGTTAAAAAAATAGAAATTATCCCAACTTAGTCATTCTTTAGCTGATATACAAGTAAAATTTCTTACCTACATCTTGAAGCTTTGTGGGCAGGGTTAGGGATTCAGTCAAAAAGAACAAGAAAATAACAAAACCTATAAGTTTTAACTGTTTCATTGTTTTAGAAATCACGTTCACAAAAGAAAGTTACATGACTGAGGAAAATCAAGTTTTTATATTATTCTTTGACAGTATTAGTAAAAAAGTAACCTGTTTAATCTATTTCTCATATACCTCATATTTGATTTTTATTTGATCACACTGCAGAATTTTTTGCTAATTATTAACTAGGAAAAAATTATCTCTGTGTTTCACTAGAAAAATCTATTGAGTTAGAAAAAAAGTCCACAGGTTAAGTATGCACAATACCTAACCAAATAGACGACCAAAAAAAATCTTGAAATATTGCAGATGCTAAAGGAAAAAGGACTAGAATAAATAATTCGCCACAGAGGAAATGCAACTAGAAAGGTGCTAAATTTTGCTGGTAATGAAAGGAAGTTAAACTAAAAAGTAATAATTTTTATCTATCTGATAGAATTAGAAAAAAAACAATTAAGATATTTAATTCTGGTAAATATATAGCAAAACAAGTGCCCATATAATGAAAGTTTTTGGAAAACAAGTTTATAATAAGGATCAATAGTCTTAAAAATATTTGTTATTTGAACCAATCACTCAAATTCTGGGAATCTCTACTAAGAACATGATCCTAAATATGGAAATATTTTTAAATACATGATAAAGAAAGAAATCTATTTTTTAGTTATGTCCACTAAAAGGGCTTGAAAGCAATAATAACCAAGAAGCAAGGAGCACATTTAGTGCTCGCATCTTGAGTTCTAAACACTCTTCTCTACTACAAGGATCCTGGGCTTTTTACAGAAACGAATGATTCCAAGGCTGGAATGTGAGAAGTATAAGATGAGCTGAGAACATCGTGCCAGAAACTAAAGAAGTGCTCAAAAGCTGATGGGGGCATGTCAAAAGGAGATAGAAGCCAATGGGACAATTTGACAATTAAAATAAATAATGACAGGAATGCATCATAACCCATTAAATTTTTGAAAAAGAATTCACGAATCTATACCAATACAAAATTAAAATAAAAGTGGGAGAAGGAAAAGCTCTTCTCTACAGAAGAATGCCAACTAATAAATATAGTTAGAAATAAAGCATAACCATTTGTAACTGCCGTAGTAACAACTGATTTAGGTCAGTTTTGTGAATGGACGCTAAAGTCACTGGTGAGAAATTATGAGGCAATAGCATACTTACAGTTTCAAAGTATCACTCCATAGATCACTTAGCAATGACAAAAGGAAAAAGACACCTTTACAGGCAGATAAGTCAACAGTGGTATAGTCACTCTATGGGTTAGTATTTGTCTTTATAACTAATAAATATAAAGAATACGTAGTAATAGGGGGAAATATTTACTATATAATATTTGGAGAAAGCAGAATCTAAAATTTTATAAGTTATATGGAAAATGGTAGAGTGACTAGATCTATCAAACCAAAAGAAAGGGAGAGAGAGTAGAGGGGGGTGAGAGTGTCAGAGAGAAAGAGAGGAGGCGGGAGGGAGAGAGGTGGTAGAGGCAGGGGTAGAGTAGAGACTGAGATTGATTTTGTCCCCAGACTGAGAGTTATGCAACTGGTGCGGTCAGCATCTGTGGTTGCAGCCAGTGAGTGTTACTGACTGTCCTGACCTCTAACTGGCCCCTCGTCAGGGGATAACACTTGTTTCTAGGTATATTCAATTATTAGTCAGAGATCAATTTGCTTTTTACTTTCTTCCCAGATATGTTATTTATTAATTCTGATTACCAGTTCATGCCAAGCAATTATGAGAAGATGGCTCCAGTGCATCCATTTCACAAATCTAATCCTCCTGATCACTGATAAGAATGTGATTTTTTTATAACCTTATGAAGTAAAATAGCACTCTGTGCCTAGTTAAAAAGTTAATGTATTTAAACTGGTTTCCTTCCTGGTCATTTTGAATCTGCCAGGAATTATTTAACTGCTAACTCCCTCATTAATGAGTAATAAATTTTGAAACTTACTCAGATAAATATGCCTAAGAAATTTTGCTTCAGCAATAGGAACACGTACAAATGCATACAGACGCTGAAAAAAGAGAAAGCCAGCAGTATATTCAAAAGCTTGAGAAAACCCTGGACACTGTAACACAGATAGGGTCACATTGATGGGGAAAATAGATAAGAGGAAACTTCAGCTCAAAACGTGGAAGATGAGATCAGTTCTTCCCAAAAGCATCCCAGAGAAGCTCCGAGTCTGAACAATATAAAGAGCAGATGTAGGCCAGAGGGAGCTAATCAGGAGAATGAGCTAAAAAGCTATATTCTGAACAACTAAATTAGAAGAGAACACTACTTCCTCCCCCCTTTCTCTACCACCACACACACACACACACACACACACACACGTGCGCTCGCGCGTGTGCGCACACACACACACACACAGAGCATTCTTGGGTAACAGTGGTTGGTGTCTTTTACCTTGAGACTAAAATTCCAAAATGACTTTTTCGTAGTTTGGTTCC